CACAGCCATCCAACAGCACCAGGTATGAACTGTGGATTCACTATTTACTAGCTGTGTGACCTTGGACAAGTTACTTCACCTTTCTGAGCCTGTTCCCCAGACTGAAAATGTGGATAATAGCGCTGCCTTGCAGAATTGTCTTGGGAATTATGTGTAAATAATGCCTAAAAGCAGCTGGGTTATAGTAGCTCGATAAATATTAGTTCCTTTTCCCCTTAGTAGGATTCAAATTAAAAATACCTCTCAGGTAAAGGTCATTACATTGTCACTGCCTTGACACCAGCTTTCCTTTGCAGGTAAGAAGGAAGAAAGAATAGGTTTTATTCTTCCAGAATGTAACTGATGAAGTCAGATAGTGCAGTGATTCCCAGAGAACAAAGGCCTAATGGAGACATACCCTATTCTGCTATTCAGAGACGTATAATGCATCCCACAGTTACTGTCAGCCATAGGGCAGTTGTGACACAGTTGTCATGGCCTGCCTCTGTATGAACTTGGTCATAGCTGTTAATATTATCACCGCTTTAATTATGTGCATTATTGGTTCTGCACGTGTTGTGTCCAAATGCCATTTAAAGTGGCTTCAAAATCGCACTTAGAATCTCCATTAAAATATAAAGTCACTGAATGCTGAAAGGCACCAACAGCAGAGAAGCATGGTATTCATTTGCTGTTAGTTAAACAGATGTTTGCATTGCTGTGTTCTTGAGAAGCAACAGACAAGTTCTTTTGGGGACCTAATAAAGGAAGATAGATTCTAGATGAAGTTTGATTATGTCTTGTTACCCAGATACCCTTGCAAATACAGAGACATTGATGACTGAATCACAAAATGATACAGAATGGTCGAACACCAAATATGAAGGAGTTTTTTAAGAGTCGTTTAAACAAATTTGTTTTGCTGTATTTGCCTTTTAATGTGTGCTCAAGAGGGTTAAGTGGTTTTGAAAGTTTGTCATTCTAAGTGGTAAGAAAGTAACGAATTCTAGTTTAGTTGTGATTTTTTGCATTCTTGGTGGCTCTATAAAACCAAGTAAAGGTTGCCTTCCTACAAAAGTGTTAAGCAACCTACTGAACTCAGTAAATAGATGGCGACAAGAGGGTGTGCTTGGAGTCAGAACCCCGTGTATCGACATGATGTATATCAAGTACCTCACACTCGTCGTGGAGTCATGACTGTCCTCACCAGGGCTTTGCTAGATACCCTTCAGAACCAGGAATAGGAAACCACTCTTTGGACGCTCAGAGAATGGGTCCAGTGGGACCAGCCATGTCAGGGACTCGAAGAGAACTCATCTAGACGTGAGAGGTTACTGAGACTACTAGGTGCTACTCCCGTGCCTGGCACTTCGTGAGTTATCTCTGATCGTTACAGTAGCCCTGAAACATTCCCACCAGGACAGATCCTACCCGTTTATGTATTTACTTGCTTATTATTAAAATTTTTTTTTTCCTTTTTAATGTTTATTTATCTTTGAGAGAAACAGACAGACAGACACCAAACTTGAGTGGGTGAGGGGCAGAGAGAAAGGAAAACACAGAATCTGAACTCAAACTCATAAACCACGAGATCATGACCTCAGCCACCTAGATGCCCCAGTCCTGCCCTTTTAGAAAACACATTGCCAAAACATAACAAAAGATGTAAGAAAACAGCCCTGCCCTTTAATTTAGTGATTCCATGATTGGGAATTCATGCACACCAGGTGGTTCTTTTTCATCATGTTACTTACAGTGAAAAGTTGGAAGCAACTTCATGTAACTCTGGAAATAGGGGGCAGTAAATGATGGCACATTCATACTTGGTGGAATATTACACAGTCTTCAATCACAAAGATTGTAGTCTAACATGAAAAACATTAGTGTGGCAACTGAGAAAACAATAACATTATATGCACTCTGTAATTTCAAAGATAGAAATATGTTCATTTTTGAGGGTCAGTGTTGGGTGAGAAAAATGTGAAAACAAAACTAGCATTCAGGTGATGTGATCCCCTTACCCCTAAATTTCTCCTTACCATAAAAAGCCAAAGCAAAGTTTCCAAAGAAAACTAGTCAGTAGTTACGGTAACTGTAGAGGTTTATGGAGAATAGAAACTTTCAGGACCCATCTAGAATTACCCAGTTACATATTTGCTACATTGAGATGTTAAAGAGACTCTGGATTTCTTTCTTTTTTTTTTTTTCTTTCCATTTTTCCTCCTCCCACTTAGAATTTGTAATTAGTATCTTTGCCTAGCAAAAATACAGTCAATTCAGAGACGTATTTGAGGCTTTGTAAGCAAATGATGACAGTGTAAAAGGTATTTGTCTAAATTTGCATTTATACAAAAGCTGGGGCTGCTGTGATTTCAGAGTAAATGTGCTTTCAATATTTTCTAAATACAGAGCTGTTGTAACCCTAACAATACTTGGCTAAGAAATTGCACTTCTATGATAGGCTGTAATTACTCCTTGGAAAATTATTGTGCTTAAGAAAAAGTGCCTACCAATGATACCTGAAGGGTGAGTCTCACTTTGTCCCTTTTTGCATCTGTAGTCACTTTTGCAAGATTGCTGTTTCTCTCTTTCAAAATATCACTGCTTTTCAGGACAAAAGGGCATGGCATTAAAACCTATGTATTTAAAATTCTAGAAAGCGTTTCTTTTTAAGGTAAGAGCCTTGAGTTGTGCAGAGACTTGCACCATATTTACTTCCACCTTTTCCTCACAGTCGTTTGGATGGTCTTTTTCTGTACATTAACTCATCGGCTGAAATTTCGTTTCTGAAATTCTAATTAAAACCCCCGTGTCATTTGTCAATTGCATGATTCAATGCAGGAGCTGGAAAAGTCGATCAGATTTGGTTAAATATTACGGACTGTGGTTTCTCCTCCCTTCTGTGCGTTAGGCTGTGCCGCCGGACAAATTAATAAGTGGCCATTTTTCTGGAATTCTGCACTCTTCCTGCTTCCTTTCATTACATTAGGCAAGGTTCCACTAGATGAGACATTTGCAGTCTTAAGACTTCCTGCCAGGGTTCAGACTTTGTATTTTTGACATTGAAGCTGTCGTGTTCCTGAAGCTACTTAATTAGAAACACATTCATTTCAGTGTACACTGGGAAAAGCTTGAACAGCCTAGCCCGGCACACTGGGAAGCTCGAGCATTTGTGTAGCCGGCAGCTAAACTAATGGTTTACAGTTTAAGGGGAAAAAATATCACAGGGCATTTCCTTGCCCCTAGAAGCGAAGAGAAGCTGAATGTGCACAGCAGATACCTTTTTTTTTTTTTTTTTTTTCAAAAGGAGAGAGGAAGAAGAAGAAAGCAAAGAAAAGACAACTCCACTTTCAGTGCAGTTGTGTGTATAATTCTTTCTTTGGCTATTATCAAATACAAAAGTCTTCTAGAAGAATAGTTCCCAAACTGTGCTGCTAATATTCAAGTCTGTTTTACAGGCTCCCAAGATATATCACTGCTGAGATCTGTAGTGAGGAGGACATTTTATATTCTGGGGAAGGATTTTTCTTGAAGAATTTTATTTGTTGAATGGTAATGAGGGAATTGTGCCCTCTCTTATTTTTAAATGTTTGAGCAATTTAAAAATGCACATCTGATGTTTAAAAACCTTCATTCCCTATCCATTGCTTACAGGATAAAGCCTAAACTCTTTAGTATTCAAGTGGAAGCACCCCTCTCCTTTCTCATTTCTTACCCACTCTGGTTCCCCCAAAGCCATGCTTGTAGATGCACATCCACTCTCCTGGCTGCCCCAGAGGAAAGGTGCATGGTCACCTTGGTCTGAGCCAGGTGCCTTTCCTCTAGGCCCAAGAATACTCTTGACCTTTCACAGAGTGTGTGTCACATACTGGAGAGACAAATGGAAAAGGTGCCACTCACACTCTGTTCCTCCTACTTCCTGACTGCCCTCCCCAGGAAATACATGCATGGGAGGTGGGCCCAGGGATTTTAGGTTCAGTATGATGAAGTCAGCGTGGCCTAGAAGGAACTTCAGAGCCACCCCAGTTTTGATGCTCCCTGTGTTTTGTGGCATTAGACAAGTGATTTCAGCTCTCGGGGGTATTCTCTCCTCTGTAAACTGGGGATAATATCTGCCTGATGGCCTTGTTGGTGTGGATTAGGAAAGATGGATCTACAGTTCCTCACATAATGCCTAGCACATTTATTATTGGTAAGTAGCATCATAAGTTATAATGTGTGCGAGCATGCGCATGCGTGTGCACATACACACGCACGCACACACTCCTGAAACAAAAGGAAATCAGTCCATAATGCCCAGGTTTTAAGAGCTTTGGAGTTGGGTTCTCATCTTCTGCTCATTTGATGGCTTAGGGAACCATTGCCCTGTGAATGAAGCAGTTGGAAGGGTTTTGTGAATTGTAGCGTCACTGGGTGGTGTGTGTGCAGTCGGGGAGGGGAGGCTTGCTCGAACTGTCCCCTGTACTTAAGCCAGTCAGAATGGACAGTTAGATCACATCTCTTGATGTCAGAAGGAAACAGCAAATTAAAAAAAAAAAATCAGTCTCCTTTGAAACCTTCCGTTCAACCTTGTTAACTGCCTTCCGTTCAACCTTGTTAACTGCTTTTTCTGTGGTAATTGTGGCGATACTAGTGTCCGTTTGTGCCAGGAACTATACTAATCGCTCGGCACATATGTTCTCTCATTCTGATCGCAAGCTGCCGGTTTGATCCCAGTATCCCATTTTAAAGATAAGGCAACTGAGGCTGTGTGGTCACATAGCTGCTCCTTAGAGATTAATGCCAAGGTCCATGCTCTTCCCACCACCCATGCTGCCTCTAATGCCGCCCAGGTTTCGAAATTCTTCTGAAGTTTCTAGGCTTGGGAACAAAATGTCACATTAGGATTTTTGTTGTGAAAGGAAATGTAACTGTGCATACGTTTATTAAAACAGTTTTTCTCCAAATAGTGAACCATCTGTAATTTTCTGTCAGAAGCAACAGACATTAAAGCAGCTGTGTGTCTCTGTTTCTCTTCACAGTGCTCCCATGCCCTACCTCATAGGAATCCATTTAAGTTTAATGGAGGTAAGTTGGCACCTTTCCTCCCCAGATCTCTCTCCTCGCGGCTTTGTTTTGCTACGTGGCAGTGGAAAAGACACGGCCTCAGGATTCACAGCTCGGCACACGGGAGCGTGTCAAACCAACACCTCATGCCCAGCCCCCTCCCAGGTGCACAGAGCTGAGCAGTCCGTGGAGACCCTTTCCGCTGGGCTCCGTTTTCCAGTGTTTTCCCCGCTTTGCTTGGAGATTGGCAATTTCCACGGGTGAGGGAGTGAGGTTCAAAGAGGCAGGAGGAAAGGGTTCTTCAAGGGTTTGAACGAGGGAAGGGAAATTGTTTGCTCTTCAAAATGATGTCAATTACAAATGACTCTAACGGTACTAGATTTTTATTGTCGAAAACGTGGTGTAAAAAAGTAGGTAGACGTATAAAGAAGAAAGTTAAAAGGTATCCACAATACCATTATTCCAGACTCAACATACTATTAGCATTTTATTATTCTTCCTCCTCGTCTGTATTCTGTGAATATATATTTTGTATAAATATGCATAACTGATATATATGTTTTACATATATTTATAATTTTATGTCTCTTTCACTTAATATTATGGCATGGAGATTTCTACATGTTTTTAATCCACTCTCAACAAGAATACTTTTTAATTTGTTGCCTGTCAGCCCACTGTTTGGATATACCACAACCTAACCATTTTCCTATTACTGTGGGACACTTAGGTTGTTTATCATTTTTCCCTATTGTAAATAGCATTTCAGGGAACATCTTTATGCATAAGGCTTTCTCCGCGTCCTGACTTATTTCTTTAGCACAGAACCCCCCAAAGTAGAAATGCTTGGTCAAAGCTAGGAATCTGGTGCCAGATTGCTTTCTGCATGGCTGTACCAATTAGATAGCAGTTCTTTTAAAGGGCTTTTGTGCGCTTTTGTACATGCCATTGGTTTGTACACATGAACCTTAAGCTTTTCCCTCCTCGAGAGAGAGCTTAAATTTGTACTAGAGCAAAACAGGGTGGGAGGTGGGGGGCTTGCCTGTTTTGCACAGGAGATAAGCTCCCAGAGGGAAAATCTAGAGCCCTGTCCGTCTGTGATGATGCTTAGCATGTCTTAAAGGAAGTGCTACTTCTCTTCTTCTGTTGCCTTCATTTCACGTCGACGAGGACCACCTGCTTCTCCACTAACTGTTGCACACTGCGCTATTGTGCTTACGAAAATGAAACAAGTTGGTTATCGAAAAACCTGTTTGTTTGACATTGAGAATCTTGATCAAAATAGACCACAGAAATCTGCTCAAATTTCTAATTTGACAGGACGGCCATGTGGCTCCTGCATTCTGTTAACAGTTCCTCCTTGTCATCACCCAGCCCTGAGCACATACAGTACACAGTTTATGGACGATCTCGGATGGTGTATTTAGATCAGATTGAAGAGATTTCTTCTGTGTTTTACCTTTGTTTGTCAAGTTTAGGGGTATATTCAAGGCTCCTGTGTGAAAAATTGAAAGTGAATACTTTTCTAACCGACCTTTCCTGCCAATCGCTGCAGAGTTTGAAACACAAATCTAAAGACCATTTGGTCTATCAGAGTCCACAGCTCTTTCCTGCCCCTCCTCCTGCCTTCCAGGCTGTTTCCCCACACGCTTTTTCAGACTCCTTTTCATGTCTCTTTACCTTCAGCGTTGTCCACGTTTCTAGTCCCAGCTTACTTTTCTTCTCCACATGCCCTCTAGTCATCTCTTGTAAGGCTTTGGCTTCAGCTACCAAGGTGGTATCCGTGACTCTCAGCTCTGAGTCTAACACTGGCGTCTTTCTCGGAACTTCACATGCAAAGTTTCAAGTGCTGATGGATTGTCACCTAATGTACTACAGGTGTCTCAGACCCAGTTCCCTGAGACAATGCATTATGAGTACACACACACACACACACACACACACACACGACCTTCCCGTGTTCCGGGTCTCCGTGAGTGGCACCATTGCCCACAGAGTTACCAGAACCAGAGCAGGACACACCAAGCATGGCCGAGTTCTCCTCTCTTCTTCATTCTTTCTCTTGAAATAATCACCAAGTCTTTCACGTATCTCTCCCCCTGTTCCTTCCTCACTGCCTTCATTGACCTTTTTCTTTGCTTTTTTGGATTGCTCTGAAGCCTTATTCATTCATTTGATAAGCAAAATGAAGGCCTCTGTGTTCCAAACATTTTGTAGGCTGTGGAGGGATAAAGATGGACATGAAACTTAGACCAAAGTCCTGACACGTGGCGGAGTGCCTCCTGTGGCCTGCCTTCGTCACTGTACCTCCGTGGCCTGCATTCCAGTCTCTTTCTGCCCTCCCCCACATTCTGCTGTCTCCATTGCTGTCCCTCACTGTCCCTTGCTGGTCTGTGCTCTCCCTGATCCATAAGCACACCCACATCCTTCCTCAACACCCCCTCTCCCCCAGCTAAGCCTGCCCTTTTCCGGCTCTTCCCAGAAGTTCTCAGTTGTCATCTTCTACTTACTATACCTCTTGTCCTGGATGACAGCTGTCTGCTGCTCTGTCCTCTCTGTCATCCCTAGAAGTATGAGTTCTTTGAGAACAAAGACTGTGCTTCATTCATGTGGTGGCCTCAGCACCTAGCAGGATGCCAAGCAGCTACTTTCTGAAGAGAAGGACTGAGCGCATGCTTGGAAAACTGGAATCCGGAACACAGAGTCTCCAGGAGGCATCACTGTTTCAGGGAACCCTACACTATCAGTTTGCCTGAAGATGCAGTACACTTTTCACTTTTTATATGATCATAAGGAATTCTTGAAAAGACCTCTGGTAGTAAAACATGCAATGCGAAATATATGTATTCTGAAGCTAAAACCTGAGACAGTTTTGTGTTCAGGTGAATGGGTGCAAGTCCACTCTCCTTCCTCAGCCTTTGAAGGGTTTTAAAGTGAGAAGGTTCAGGAAGCATTGGGCAAGATAAACCTTAGACCTGTTTGACTGAAGTTGGGGAGAGGGGTTTGCCATGCTGAACTCTTGCATGATCAGTAGTAAAAGAAGAGCAAAAGCAGTAGTTGCCCCATGCTTGAGGCCAGCTAAGCCACTTTCCCAACAAAGTCGTGTTTCCTGGGTGTGTTGGGTGGCTGTGAACTACCAAACCATGGAATTTAGTCTCTTCATCTCCTCCCGTGGATTTCAGCTCATACTCGGAATGCTCTAGTCATTCTTTTTGATTGGATTTATCTGGTTCTATTATACTCTTCAAGGGAGAGAACTGCTTCCGTGAGATTTCTTCCAGGAACCAAGGGCTATAATGCTTGGGGAGGAGCTCGTACCTGGGGCCAAAGGAAAGCTCTTTAAGGAAGGAGCTTGGGAAGGCCCATCTCCTCTCGCACACTAGTTTTCTTACTGGCAATTCAGCAAAAGGCTTATTTTTGACTGTCTTGTTATTTTTTCTTGAAAGCTATAGGCACCTTATTATGCCTTTGCATATGTGCCAGAATTTTTTAAACTTCAAATGAATGTGGCAGATGTTCATAAAAGTTTAGAAAAAGCTACCATAGGAAGACTTTTTAACCATTTTTATGACACTCAAATTTGTTGCACAAAAGGAAATATAAATTATAACCTAGTGTTCTCATTTGAAAAAAGGTTATTTTGGGGAAAGACCTCATTCTGGTCTTCCTGCCCTAACAGGGTGCCCTTGCTGTTTGTTAAGTTGTAAGCCTGTCACCTTAAAGAGTCTGCCTTCCTTCTAAAGTAACAAGTTTATAGTCAGTCCTGCTTCTTACCCCTCCTCCCACCTTTTTATATTCTTTCTCTCCTTTAAGCAGACATTAATTTGAGGCTAGTGGTAAGTTAGCAAAATAGCCAAGGGTATTGGCATGGACCTAGTTTCTTCTTGGAGAGAGTGATCTTGTTATAGCTGGCAGCTAGGAATTACCGAGCCGTGGCCAGATTCCATAGTGCCTGTTTCCTTTCATTCTCTCAACCTCAGTTCAGTTCAGGAGACGTTTTTGCCGGCTCCCTCTTGTGTGCCATGGCTGGTAGCAGGTGCCAGGTCACATCTGGTGGATGATGCTTCTCCCATTTGATAAATGAAGACTTTCCAAGCTTTACAAACGGTGCTTTGTGTACAGGCCTCAGAGTAACACGAGGGATGTAGGCTGAGGATCATATGTATGTATCATTCCTGGTGGCAGAATGGTCAGGAGGGAGGAAGGAACAGGCGAGAGCTATGACGTGATTGCAGACAGAGGCTCAGATTAGCCTGGATATCACGCTCCACCTGCACACAGAGGCAGTGAGGTATAGTGGTTAGAGCGTGGCCTCTGGATTTTAGCTCCCCAAACTTCCTGCTTCTACGATCTTGGACAAGGTAATTGACCTCTTACTCTCTGTTGTCTTACCTATGAAACTGGGACAGTGACCCTATCTCCCATACAGGATTGTTGGGAGATCCAGTGAGGTGATGCTTAATGAAGGCCTCACACAGTGCCTGGCACATGAAGAGTTCAACAGAGATCAGCAACCTTTGCTATTTTTATTTCCTCAGTGGCCTTAAAGCCATTTACATGGTTAAGTCGGTGGCTTTGAAAGCCTGTTTCAGAGACTCTTAGGTTAGCAGAGTCATTATCTTCATTACCTAGGGAAGGAGAGTGTCAGCAATGTCGGTTTGTGCTTTCCCTATTTTCTCCTGGTTTGCAGTGCTAGAGACACTATTTCGGGGATGGGAGCGTCCTTTTGTAGAATTTGAATGCACTTTTGACCCTCTGCTTGACCATTCTCCTGCTGTAGTAATTTCGGGCAAGATACTTTGGCTCTCTGTCTCTCCCTTTCTTCATCTGTAATAGCCCACCTTTTAGGATCATGGTAAGGATCAAATACATGAGTCTTTTGTGTGTCCAGCATACACGTGTGCCCGGCCTGTGCTGGGCACACGGTCCACATCCCCTTCCACAGTGATGTTTTGAGAGCCTTCTGAGTACCAGCTACTGCCTCGTACTAGGAGTTAAGTACAAAATGGTGAGTGTCGCAT